CTTAAACCAGTTTGTGTGTAATGTCTGTCCCTAGCCTAAATAATTTCCTCTTTAACTCAGCCAAGTGTTTTGAACATTCAGTTACAAGAATGAGGTTTTCTTCATCATCAACAAAATCAGAAGAGATTGAAACTCAAAATGTAAGTGTAACATTTTGCTTTCCGTTTCTACAGATTATTGGTAAAACACACATAACACATCAATGTATAGGATATGAATTATTAAAAAAATGTCCTATACTCCTGAATTTCTTCCTTGAACGCAACTAAGCTGAAAGATGCAATTTTGATGTGAACATGAGTCCCAATTCACAAACCCCAAAACCAGATGTGGGTATCCAAGAGCAGACTTTGGGGAAAAGTTTTTTGGGGAAACAAAATTTCTGAATTAAAACTTTCTAGGAAGCCCCTATTTTATAAAATATGGGTGCAGACAAGCCAAGTCTATTCAAATCACAGCACCCATGAAACATCTGAAAGAAAGATTTACACGAGTGATACAAAAATGTCATGCTGCTCTGTCTGTGCTGAGTTTTCATTGAATTTGTGCTGCACTGCAGGTGAGTTAATTAGCTCTTCCGACTGACAGTGCCAATTAATCTATTCCCATGCTAATTAGTTAATCTTAAGCACTTTGTGAATGAGCTATATTGCTTCCAATTCAGGAGGCAGAACAATGCTATGTTTGAGGTCACTGCTGCCTCCAAGGTCCCAAAGATTTCCTCACTGAGAGTTAAGGGCATTCAGCACCTCATACAATGTTGACCAGTATCTTAAAGAACCTGTTAATTAATATTTGTCCTAGCATAAAAGCATATCACTCAATATATTGCATTAGTTTTTCAACATCTCACTTACAAAGACTGAAGTTGTTGAAGACTCTCAAACTGATCTTCATAGAGGTGAGAAAGTGGATTGAAAGACAAATTACTAAAAGACAAAGAAATTATTTCTCATTACAAATTAAGGAAAAATGAGGTTAAATTACAATAGTTTAAAATGGATATGTGACTTACAGTTTTTGTAAATATTTCAGGTCTTTAAAGATATAATGTGGTAATTCAGTAATTATGTTCTTAGACAGATCCCTGAGAGAGAAAAAAAAGACCAAAACCACTTAGAATTATCACCAGTGTTCTGGCAGGTGTGTTGCCAGCAGGTAAAGGGACGTGATTATTCTGCTCTATTCAGCAATGGTGAGGTCATATCTGGAGTACTGTGTTCAGTTTTGGGACACCCACTACAGAAAGGATATGGACAAACTGGAGAGAGTCTAGTGGAGGGCAACAAAAATGTTGAAGGGGCTGGAGAACATGACTTATGAGAAAGACTGAGGGAACTAGGTTTATTTAGTCTAGAGAAGAGGAGACAGAGGGGATTTAATAGTACCCTTCAACTACCTGAAGGGAGGTTCAAAAGAGAATGGAGCTAAACTGTTCTCAGTAGTGCCAGATGACAAGGAGCAACAGTCTCAAGTTGCAGCAAGGAAAGTTTAGGTTAGATATTAGGAATAATTTTCTCACTTGGATGGTAGTAAAACACTGGAACAGGTTACCCAAAGAAGCTGTGGAATTTCCATCGTTGGAGGTTTTTAAGACCCAACTAGACAAAGCCTTGGCTGGGATGATCTAGTTGGGGCTGCTCTTGATTTGAGCGCAGGGTTGGATTAGATGACCTCCTGAGGTCCCTTCCAACCCTAATTTTCTATGCTCCTCCATTTCAGCAGATAGTAGTTCATTCAGTGGCACATTTTATATTGAAGAAACAGATTTTATGCATTTTTTAGATTAACAGGATCCTTTCTATCTTGTCACTGAATTCATGATAATGCTTATATTTTAGAATGTAAGTGTTTATATTTAAAAATACAAGCATTTATATTTTACATTAAACTTCCACATTTTTCACTTTAAAAATGATCTGTTTTCATCCAGTACATACAATCTTTTTTTTCCCCACAACTTCACCTCTTCTTAGGAACACTGACTTAATTAAATGCATTCCCTGAAGTTTTGTGATAACTAAGCACAAATCACTCGTCTGTTGCATTAACCAGCAACTTTTACCCTTTACACTAATTTTAAAAAGCATTAGGAAGATCCATGCAATTTAACATTATGAACACCAAAACTGAAAAATATATCAAGCCAAATAACTTAATACAGAATCATATTACTGAATATTCTGCTCATCTCCCAGAAGTTTTCAGTTGTCTGGTACTCCAGCTCCCCTAACAGTTAAAAAATATATCTATTCCTTTCTCCTTAGCTGCTAATGACAGTCAGATACACTTACTACTCATTCCCTCTTCTAATCACTAATGATTTTATTATTTGCCCTTCCTTTTTTAGGTTTTTGCACTCTCCAATCATTTGTATACTTCTCCTGGAACCTGTAGCACTAACTAACGTAACAATTGAGCCCCTTTTTAGTATTCAAGACAGTGCTAGGAGTGCAGTTGGTTCTTCCACTGCATTGGTGTTCACAAAGAATGTGCTGCTTCTTAATGTACTTCTCAGTTATGTACATTCACAGTTTATTAAAATGTAACAGGGCATACTACAACTCAGAAAAGAGATTTTAAAAACTTACAGTTCTCCCAAATGTTTTAAGGAAGAAAATGTCTTTTCAGGCACAAAATGAACTTGATTTCCACGAAGACACCTGTGACAATAAAAGGATATGAATGTGACAGTTAAATGTGCAGTTGCTTCTAGTATTATAATTTTTCTACTTTTATTGGAACTTGTATAGAATGGAGGGTAATTTTAACATGATATTACATATTACATTTTCATATTCTTCTCAAAAGAAATCTTGTTGGGCTAAATTCTGAGAGATTTAGGATGTGTCTACATGGGGTGCTTTACTGCACATTAGAGTAATCTGAATCACAGTAAAGCATTACCATCTACACATGTGCAGGATTTACTCAGCAGTAAATTATGCTAATGCAGTTTGCTACTACCAAGAAATACAGGTATTAGATTAACCACACATTTGCTATTTTGCAGTAGTGCACGTGTAGATGCTGACCGGAAGCAATTTGCTCCCAGAAAGCCTGGGCAGCAG